ATAAAATCGGAGCAAAATTAATGAAAACAAATAAATAACAGAATATAGAGAAATGCCGGTAAGTGTCCAGCACTCTGGAATAGTGATTCACTACAGATGGAATTATAATACATATTTACAAAATGATGACTAGTGTGTGATATTTTTGAAATTGTGTGTTTCCAGAAATACATAATAAAATATATGATGAATATCGATGATGTTAGATGATAAAATGTGTGACATGGAACCTATGATAGTCGAAACCATGGGACGATTCCTGAGGTATCTCTACTTGTAACCGACTTTTTCGGACTTGATTTTGTTTTGTGTCTGTTCAAAGACAATCGTTTTTAGAGTGTAAACTCGGAGCTGACACACACAATTTTTTTTTTGCAACGCGAGGGGCGGCGGCATGGGCATAGTCTAAACGAGGTATAACTGTGTCATATACACGATGCATTTGTTCTATGGTAGAGTGGGATTTTCTAAAACCAAATTGATGTGTAGGGATGAGGTCACATTTATCAAATATAATCTCGGATAAACGTAGATTATATTCTCCATAAAACCTCTGAGACAAAAATGACACATGCGAATGTCAAGTTTGCAAATAATGATACCAGCTTTTATTGTGTAGTGTTGTACCCGCTATATCGGTATTTAAGCTTTTATTTTTATTATTTTATAGTAATAAATGCTGAGTCTGATGATGACGTTTCAGAAAATAAGAATAAATCTTTATTGTGTATGGAAGAAGGTAACATGAAAATACAGATCTCTGATTAGTATAATATGCTTATCTTATTATGAACTTCAAATCTTCCTGTGTGTAAATAATGTTGTATTCATGATTAATTAATAAATAAATTGAAAATATATTAATATCAGTTAATTTTGTATCTTTATCTGTAGACCTCTCATTACTCTCTTCGTTTAGCAATTGCTACTGTACAAAGTCTATTTATTTTCACGTGCTTTTTTTTAACTGACTTCAAAATGGTGCTCAATTTGGTCGGTATGTTTTTTTTATGTATGCACAAATGATTTCTGATCCGATTTTCGTCATTCCGTTATTTTGTCCAGTGCAGACTAGTTGTCATTGGGTCCCGTGAAAATTTAATTTAGTTCGGATTAGTAGTTTTCATTCTAAGAGCATTTCTGTTCGATCAGTTGAAAATGGAACTAAAAAGTAGGAAATAATAATTAATATCGGATTCACACGAAATCTGGCGGTTTCTTGTATGATTTGGCAGTCGGGCGGGGTCAAGCAAGACTATAAACATACTTACACCGATTAAAATTGCATTAATGTCACTTTTTACTCTAATGAAAATATAGTATTTTCAAGTCCGTTTTTGAGAATCTTTTAGACGATTGAAAGACAATTTCTTACGTAGGTGTAGAATGTGTATAGCTACTTGAGATGGCTACTTTTTTGAAAATCTTCTGTAAATTCTAAGTTTTTTTTTCACATTATCTCTTGTTTTATTAACAATACCACTTTTCACTTAAAACTTTTCTCACCAAACCTCTAAAGCTATTTGTTAGTTAGTTTCCAGTATTCCCTATCAATAATTACACTTAAGAATGATAAAAAGGTCAAAAAATTTTTTTTAATCAAATTAGCCTTTCATAAGAATTTTACACCTCTTTGAACCCAGTCTTTGAAGCCCATTTTAGCGAAAGTAGCCCCCTTAAGTACTAATTTTTTTAATGATTATGTAAGCTGAGTGTATGGCGCATTCTTAAGGTTAGGTACTTAGGAACCATGAGTCACCTATTTAGTTTTTAATTAAGAGATTTTAATCACCGAACGTACATTTTTTACTATGGATCAACTTTTCAGATCTGTTAAAAAACTAAATATTTTGTGCATAAAAGCACAACTCATGAGGATTCAGTTGCAAAAAAAAATCGAAAACGTCTTCTAAAGCAGAAGACTATCTTAATTTTTGAAGTTATACTTCTTTAGGCGCGTTATGAAAAAATGATGAGAGTGAAATTTTAAGATGCGCGCGCATCACTGTAACACAAAAAATTAAGTTGGCTCGCTAAAGCGACCAACTTCATGCTGTTTTTATTTATTTTTTGAAAAAATAATTTGAAAAAATAAATTATTTATTTATTTTTTCAAATTAAAACTGAACTTTATTGACTGTGTCCTTTTCCAGACTTTTTATTAATTTATTGTAATTAATTATTTGCATGCAATTAAAAACTTATTTTAAACGATGCCAAAGAAGGATAACTTCTCACGCGCCTACATAAGTACACGCACCCATTTTTTTTAGATTTTTTTTTTATTGGTCAGATCGAAAATTTAGAAAAATAACAATTCGTAAACTTTAAAACCTACATTTTTTATGACTGGGAGAAAAAATACATTATATCCACGACAATGACCAACGCCGCGTTGGTTTGCTGTTAACAAACCCTCGCGACGCAGGTATTCCGATCGGTAGGTATGACGCAGGGGTAATAGGAAAAGGTGGGTATGCGGATGGAATATTACGTTATCATATCTAACACATTCAATATATTTGAAACCGAACGCCTCCGATTATGAATTGCCAATAAATCGTATCGCAAATCGCAAGGTGTAACCACTTTTAACTTTGACATAAAATTTATAATTTGAAGTTCAAGTCATTTTTTGATTAAACGCAACCAGGCCGGCTCTTTTAGTCTCTGTTTATTAGTGGATATTGTTCAATTAACTAACAATTATTGTGCTTTTCTGTCTTATAATGGTTAAAAAGTGTTGTATTGATAAATGTCGAAGTCAGTCATATGGTGGTTGCGGTTTATCTTTTCATAGGTAAGCTAAAATATATTAGCTCCTTACTTCCTGCGCACAATATCAGAAACGCTAAAAAAGCGAATTTATAAAAAATGCAATTTTTAAAATAACATTCTCAAAATAGCCAAAATACTAAAATGTCAAGAAATTAAACACGGAAAATAAAGAGCATAATATTAGAATATAATATTAAGGAATAAAATTATTAGTTATTTAGAACGGACTTATAACATGACTGATGCCTATAATATCATTGGTTTGTTGTGATTAAAAATGGTGTTGAATTCCTGAAAACTAAAAACTGAATTCATAAAAGCAAATCTCCAAAAAAGTAAGAAATAATACGTATTTTACTTATATCTAAACATATGTATTATACTATATAAAAACAATAATTACTTGACAGTAGCAGTACAGTTTAAGACAAATAAACATTTGGAGTCTGTGCCATGCCAACCCAAACAACAACTCAAGACTATCAACATACATGGCATTGATTCCCAGTGTTACTTTAAAATTTGACATTAATCTAGTGATGGGCCAAGTGCAGATTTTATCCAGAAACAGAGTACAGTTTTTAAACTGAGTACTTGTTGAATACCTCGGTTCAATGTAGGTGTACAGGCCCGGGAGGTGGTACCAATCCTCTGAATCCAAAACCCAATGAGGGAATGGTATTATTCAATATGAAAAGAAGGTTTATTGTCAAAAGATAGAGACCTTTCCAGTGGCAGGCAGGACACGATACAAGACATCCAGAGATAGCACATTCAGCCCAAGTGTTTTTATGTGCACCTAGTAGAATAGAAGCATCTATTACAATTGTTATAATTATTTGCTTATAACTTATAACAGTTTTAAATGCACAGCAAATAACTTATTACCCATTTAGTTATTTACAGCAATTAAAATAAATACTTTTTACATCAAAATAATTATTTTACTGCAAAAAAAAACATTTGTTGAACAAAACTAGTCGGGAAAATAATTCAAAAATATACATCTAATCTCTAGTAATAAAAAACTTGTTTCATTGTACAGAATTTTGATTTACTGCAAATAACGAGTTGGTTTATTATTAGCTATTATAGCATCCTTAAAAAAGCTTTAGTTTTAAATAAATAGCGATGCATCACGAACTTAAATTGTTACTAATATAACAATATTTTGAGGTGACTATTTTGCTGTGCAATAAGTATTTTTGCCTCAAATTCTTCAGCCATATTACTCGCAATGAGAACTCCATGGAACAGTTGGTGGTGCAAGGGAAAGTTGAGGGCAATAGGTCTCCGACAAGGTGGACAGACCATATTAAATCGGAGACGCACTCTAGCGTAAATGATTGTTCTCGCTCTGCAAAAACATCGAGCTGCATGGTGATGCATCGCGATTACATCAGTGGCACAGGAATCAACCGAGACATGACCACGACAACTCTGTCATGAGTGCACGACTAGGAAGAAGAAGAGAAGAAGAAGTATATTTGCTTAGGATTGGAAATTATTTTTTATACAAAATGTCATTTTTTTGATTTGCAGTTATTTAACTGCATACTAGCCTTTTAAAATTAGAAAGTTCTCATTGTATTTTAATAATCACTCATTGTTTTATTTTTACCGAGTATACTCGTTATGTGTACGAAGTTATTCGGCTGTGTATAAGAATTCTGTAAACGATTCTGTAATTAAACATTCAATCAAGCGAGCGAGACAGAACTGTCCACTTAAACGCAGCGCGAGCGAAACGGCGATTCTGCGTCGCTTGGCAGCCGACTGCGTTTTCTTTTTCTACAAACGGCTGAGCTGTATTTTTGTCCTTGTCTTGATAAGAAATGGCGAATAACTTAATTGATCATGACAGGCCATGATATTTGAGTTTTTGTTTATTTTTAAAATGAAAAGTTATAATGAAACGTCTTGTTGTGGAATTTGTTAATTGATCTTGGAACTACTTGTGTTTTTTTAAAGCATCGAAGGCATTGTTTTATCTTTATAACACAGAATATACGATATATGGTTAATTGAGTGCACATGCAGTGTGTTTGGATGTCAAATTGTGACTAAAGCGAATTGTGGTCACTGCACCACAATATAAGCGGTACACTTTTGAGCCGCGAGTGCCGTATCTTCCCTTTTTGTTATAATGTAAGCCTTTGCGACCAAAAAAAAATTTTGGATTTCTTCTGCTTTATTTTATAAGTGATGTCATATATTTCTAGTTTCCCGAAGGACGAGGAAATGAGACTTAAATGGATAAATAATGGACCTGTAAAGCAGAGAGTCACAAAAAATTCAGTTGTATGCAGCCTTCACTTCGAACCAGAAGATTTTTATTCGCGTAATTCCCGTCAATTATTAAAACCTGACGCAATACCAACATTTTGCTTAAAGGTAAACAAATATTATTTTTCATTTGTTTTCACGGAAAATTTGACAGTAAGTACTACCTATCTAATTATTGGGTGAAATACTACGACACTACATTTAGCATGCGGAGATATAAAGATTTTTCTGTCGTTATAATTTTTATTATACAGGTGGTCCAATTAGTGACGTCAACAATCTGCGACTTAGTAGCGACAGGGCCTGATCCAGAAATTTTGTCGTTCCGGGCAAAGTGGATTTTCGCCGCCCTTTGCATACTAATACCATTTATGAAGAGTGTTGTCATGTCAGTACATATACAATGTATGTCGAATGACCTTCTTTGTATTCTGGTTTCCAAAATCATTACATATCGAAAGAGTTACTTCTGTATAATTAATTTTGAAAAATAAATACCAATGTAGGACTTTGGTATATCTTTTTCAAAATTAATTAATATCATCACTAGCCGATGGACGTCCACTGCTGGACGTAGCCTCTTCTATGAATTTCCACACAGAACGGCCCTACGTTTTCCGCAAACAGTGTTCACCAATAGGTTTTGTGTTGAGATGTATAACTCCATAGAAGCTTTTAACTTCTCTCAAAATCTCAGGCCTAGACTACGGTCATAGGTCTTTAGCCGCGTTAAAGAAGGAGTTCATCATTATGAGCCCTCCTTTTCCATGAAGTCAGCAAGCATTTAGCCCCTTTGGTTTCGCTGCACATTACTAAAGTCCTTTGTCAACTCGGAACCGTCTCGCTCGCCTACTTTTACTTTAAAATCCCCCATCACAACAATGTAATAAGGATATATCCTCATACATAGACTATCACTTCTCTTATCTTCATGGTTTCCTCTAACACTGTTCTTGTCTAATTCAGATAATATACTTTAATACTGCAGGGATGCCATCGGGTCCAGTAGCTTTCCGGACGTCGAGTGATTGCAACTCCACACGAACATCACGCTGCCTGATTTTAATATCAGGCATCGTAGTGCCTCAATGAGGTAGCGTAGGTGGCAGTGCATTGCAATCAACGATTTTGGAGGTAGCAGCCAAGAGTTTTGCCAATAATTCTCCTGCGGCTTATGAGCTAGTGACCCATCTGGACATCGCAGAGTGGCAGCGAGAGCTGGCAGAAGTTGTGCTGCATGGCATTAGCCAAACGCATAAAACAACGAGAGCCTGTAGGATGCGTTAACATTTCGTGGCCAGTAACTGCAACACGTTGGGCATCCACTCTGATGTAAGCCTTCTTACAAGTCTTGGAAGCACTATTAAAGGCAGCTTTCAGTGAGTCAACCACGGGATCCTTAAGAGCGCGGCCTTTGATCCAAGCGCGATATGCCGCCTGCTTTCGTGAAACAGCATCAGCACAGACGCGAGTGAACCAGCAGTTACGTGTTCCCTAACTGATGAGATCAGAATGTGGAATGTAATACTCCATTCCCATTACGATCTCAGTAATAGCAATGGCGCTGGCTGATAGGTCCTTTTCATTAAAGCAGCACTGCTTCCAGGGACGGACGAAAAATAGTCGCGCATATTAGGGTTACCATATCTCAGGATTTGTCCTGAGATTTCAGGATTTTAAGACTCTTCTCAGGATTGCGGCTGGATTTTGCAAATCTCATGAAATCTCAGGATTTTTTGCATTTCCAATAAAATACAGCTTACGTTTTAAAGATCTCTTTAATAAAAAGTTAAACAAACCAAAAATAGTAATAATTGCACAATTAAAATCAGTACTTTATTATCCAAGTTAATCTTAACTTAATCAGTTTTATCATACTTAATATGTGAATATACATTTTTAAGTAAGGTTTTTTTTCTTTAATTATGGATTCATATAATGCCCCATATGTTAAGCTCTTCAAATTATATTGATTTAAAAGTATAAGCAGATTATAAACGATAATATTACCATTTTTTTAAATTGTTAAGTACGTTTGATAGAAAATTCTCAAACTGTAAAAAATCTCAGGATTTTTCAATGGAAATGAAGCCTTTTCTCCGGACTTTTGATTTTATCGTCTGGTAACCCTAGTCTTGGTGGGCTGATCGACCAGTTGTGTTAAGTGAGACTATTTGAGTCATCAGTGAGAGCTATTGCATGGGCAGAGATCCCTGTATGGTCAGTTTTGGAGGAGCCCAACCACAAACCGTGGTGGGCGTTAAAGTCCCCCAAAAACACCAGCTCTGCAGTCTCTGCATCTAAGTTTTAATGTAAAATAGTGTTGTAAACTATAGTGATGTTAAAACACCTTATTTTTATAAAGAAAGGAACATGTGTGTTAGCCATAGCCAGCAACATTTTTAAGGTGGCTACACCACGATGATTAAAAAATAAAGTCGTCTATAAAACTAACACAAACCCCCTTAAACAGTGGTGGTCACATAATTAAAGACACCCCCTAATTAACCACAAAAAACTTACTTATGGTACTAACATTAGCTAAAATTGGTATTTAATCCAGTTTAATTGTTATTAAACCATACCCTACCTTGTATTCTTACAATGTGGGATAAAAAATAGTTGTGTTTGTTAGTAGTTTAGACACTGCTCACTATGGGAACATAACACAAACTTTTTTAACGTTAGCTGGCCAGCTAATTAAAGACAGTAAAAGCTGTGTTCTGAATTTATAATTTAATCTGTTCGGTTTAAAATTTATTAATTTTAATTAAAAAAAATACGTTCTATATACAGGGCGTCCCACGGCTACCTCACACGGAGGGAAAGTATATTAAAGATAGGATATTTTACTGAAAGAAGACATCATTTCATTTTTGATAATAACTAGAACTGCATTCACAGATTTTTTAAAAATCGACTGCTACAACTGGGAATCAAACTCGTGAAATTTCGAAAAAGCAAATATGACATATTTTATGATAACCATCGAAAGGGTTTATCATAAAGATTATTTTTTACTAATTAACATGACATTTTAAATGAAAAGAATGTCTTATTACTTGATAAAAAGAATAAAGTGATATACAAACTGTAGTAAGTATGCATTTCTTTTAGAACTCAGTTACAATGCGATTGGCTGAAATTTGTAAAAATAATAATTCGAAAATAGAACACATACATTTTCAAGCGTCTGTACCCCTAGCACGAACCATTATCTAATTCGAATAGTTTGCGAGTGTGAAATGTCAATGTCACATTTTCTATGGAAACTTATACAGCAGCACCACAAAGTACGTAACGAGAACTAAAAATCAGTACACATTTGACAATGATATTTCGCACTCGAAAACTATTCGAATTCGATATTGGTTCGTGCTAAGGGTACTGTTCTTTTTTTTGTGTTTTTGATTATAGTTTAAAACCGGGTTCTCTTAATACATTTTTACAAAGGGAATCTAAATAAGGAAAGATATCTAGAAATACTTAATATTTTAAGAGGTGAGATCAATAATCTTCCCGATGCTAATCGACGAAATCTGAGAGAGAGAGAGAGAAGAACTGCCGAGTTTCTTATTGAACACTTTCCTTCCTGGATCGGTTCTTATGGACAAATAAGATGGCCAGCGAGATCCCCAGATCTAACCCCACTGGACTTTTATGTGGGGTTATGTAACAGATGTAGTATACAAGAACCGGTAACACAGTGTGCAGGAGTAACAAAATATTATATTATATAAATATTCAAAAAAAAAACTCATGATATTCCATCCACCTCAAAAAAATACATTACCAGTAAATTTTATATATAATAACAAATGCATCGAGTTAGTGACGCAATTTAGGCTGCTAGGCGTGATTATTGACAGGCACCTGAACTGGAAAGCTCACATAGCGGCTACAAAATCTAAATTATCAAGTTTTGCTTACGCTCTTCGAGAGACTAAAAAAACAACGAACTTAGAAACGGCCAAAACTGCATATTATGCCTATGCTCACGCGTGGCTTAGCTATGGGGTAATCTTGTGGGGGAGCAGTGTTGATAGTACCACCTTATTTACAGCTTAAAAGAAACTCATTCGTGTACTTGCGAACATAGAGCAAACAGACAGTTGTAAACCATATTTCAAAAAATTCGAGATTCTTACTTTGCCCTGTATTTACATATTAGAGATTTGTAAATTCACTCGTAAATATCCAAATTTTTTTAAAATGCGAAATGATACATCATTACGGTACACATCACGACATGGACATAAACTGCTTATACCAACTACAAGGCTGAAAATGAACTTATCTGGTCCACTTCAAATGGCTGTCAAAATTCATAATAAATTACCTAAAACGTTAGTTGAGGAAAAGGTTGATAATGTATTCATTGGAAAAATTAAAAAGCTAACTATTAAGCAAATGTTATTACACGGTTAAGGAATTTTTAGAAGATAATAATTTAAAGTAATGATATCTACAGTTTAATTTTTTACTATACCTGACATTTAATTTAATTTGTACCTATATAATAAAATTGAATATAAATATAACATAATATACTATAGAATATGACATAGATAATAATTCAAATAATATAATATAATATTAAGCTAAAATGAATAAATAATGTTGATATTAATATATTTTTATTTGTTGGGTAAAAAATTATCGTATTTGGCTGGTAAATTGTATACGTAAATTACAATTAGCGAATGCGTCCTCTTCTCTATTTGCTGTGCCCTGTTCAGGGTCTACAATGATCAAAGCAATGTACCTACTAAGATCTAAGAAAACATTGTAGAACGCAATAAAGTATTGATTGATTGATTGAAAGATAATGAAATCGACAGGCAGAGAAAACATTAATAGAGTGAGAATTTGCATACAACAAATCGGATCACATTTTGAACATTTGATACATTTATTTTTTTATTACTTTTTGTTGAATATTTTAAATAAAATGTGTAATTTTATGACTTTTCTTTCATTTAAAATGCTTAGTTATTTAGCAAAAAATACTTTTTATGATTAACTCTTTCGATGGTTATCATAAAACTCGTAGTGTTTTTTTTTTCTAAATTTCACGAGTTTGATTCCCCGTTTAAGCAGGCGATTTTAAAAAAAATCTGTGAATGCAGTTCTAGTTCTAATTAAAAATAAAACGATGTCTTCTTTCGGTAAAATATCCTATCTTCAATATTTAATATACTTTCCCTCCGTGTGAGGTACCCGTGGGACGCCCTGTATAATATCGACATTTCATGAAAATACGCGGCAAAACAAAGAAAAACAGAAAACAGTTTTTTCTTTATTTTTTTAAATTCAGAACACAGCTTTTACTGTCTTTAATTGGCTGACCAGCTACAAGTACCTACGTTAAAAAAGTTTGTGTTATGTTCCTATAGTGAGCAGTGTCTAAACTACTAACAAACACAACTATTTTCTGTCCCACATTCTAAGAATACAACTTCGTGTATAGTTTAATAACAATTAAATCAGATTAAATACTAATTTAAGTACCATAAGTAAGTTTTTTGTGGTCAATTAGGGAGTGTCTTTAATAACGTGACCACCACTGTATATAGTGACAACATATTTTGCATCTAGAAATTATTGAATTAAGATAGCATTTCCAAACTAGTTTCAAAATAAGTCAACAAAACAAATTAAAACCCATACAGATAAAAGTTCTAAACATATATTTTTTTATTAATAGTTCAAAAGTACTTTAAAATGTGACGTCAGGAAACTTAGTTACCGCTATCACAAAATGTCACACTTCGTCGACACCTCCCCTCCTGCTTAAAGTGTGACGTACTTTATGGATTACTCCTAAGTCAATTTTGTCGCCTCTGATATTTACCGCTCTGGGCAAATGCAAGGGATCGGGTTTGGAGTCTGTAGAAACGTTCAAACTCGTAAACAAACTTAGCCAACTCCGGCCCAGGTAGAAATTGTCTGGTTAATCAAAATTATATACTAACTACTTAATTATTTATGACAGTTTCAATCGTAATGTTTGTCTTTTTTTCTTATATTAAGCTTTGATCTTTTGTTTTAGCCCGAAATTAAAAAAGCAAAATTACTAAGAAACATGATTCCCTGTCCTCCGCCACAACCTCCGAGGAAGCTCTCTGTTGACGGGATAGAAGTAGGTGTTCAGACAGATGATTTTACGTTAAGCAGCCCACGTATAACAACTTTAAAGAGGCAAATAAAAATTGCGACTGCAATCTTAAAAAGTCGCGACAGCAAAATCGAAAGGTTGAAATCTGTTATTACTTTGTTAAAAAGACACAAACGAAAACCAATTATGATCGATGATATATATAATATTCCTAGACAATCAACCGCCTACGCAACCAAAGCAAAAAGATTTTCTAACGAGGTAAAAAAATTCGCATGTTCTTTATATTCTCAATCTCCCCAAGCGTATTCCTTGCTGAGGGGCCAATTTGTTTTGCCACATCCTATGACATTCCGGAAAATTGTGTCAAAAATAAAGGGAACAACGGAAACTTTAGATTGAAGCAAGGATATCCTTACCGTAAGTAACAGGAATACTTACAGTTCGAAAATGTTGTGCCGAAAGAGACTGAATATTTGGCCGGACATCTCGTTCTCTTCGAATGGTATAATCCCAGATTAGCAGAAGGACAGATTTGCACAAAGGTAGATAATGTGGGTACTGTCGTCGTCAAAAAAATTACAAACCCTATTAACCTTATTATCCATTTGTGACCTCTTTGCTTTATAAAGTATAAAGCTATATTATATGACATGACACATATATTATATGTAAACCGTAAAAACAGAATTTAACAAATTTCAAAACTATTTTAATAACCAGGGTATCCTCTAAATCACAAAGGACATTCTTATTTCAAGCTTTTAACTTGCACTGTTCTATGTAGCTACAAAATTTGTAAACAGTTTTCGACCACTTGTTATCTAATTCAGCTGAAATTTGGTATACTGATGTAAGTCTGCTAAGTAAGAGCTGAAAGGTTGCCATAGGAACTCCATTATAAAATGGCATAACGCCATCGAGTTTGTGCTAGTAAGATTCGTCTTGACGAGTACTTTGGCTCTAGATGGTATCCAGGGTCTGATTGGTATGGCCATAAGATCTTCGAAATAAAACGACGTAACCCCATCGTCCCCAGGGTCTTTATGAGTACTTTGGCCCAAGATAATATCATAAGCAAACCCATCAGGTTTGGACCTCTAAAGGACGGTTTATTTCATATACTTGTGGGAACAATAAAATTATAAAGAAACTACTACACAAAGAAAATGACGACTTTCAGAGTATCATAAATACTAAAAACATAAAAATAATTAAAATGTAAATCATTTTTAAAAAATAAATTTACAAGCTAAACTTATCTCAGGCTTAGCATAATGTGCATTGTTTATTAATTTTGTAATATCTCTTGTTTTCTTACTGCACAATTGTTCTGTCGTATTCTGACATAGAGTTTATACTAGTTTAGAAGTCAGGGCCTCACTTGTAACTGTAACTAAGTACCTAAGTACGAGTAAATTATTATTATTGGTTATGTTCCGATGCCTGTTCAATATGAGTGAAACAATAACATGTTTGTGAATACAAAACATACTTATTTCTTTTTATATTTTTGTTAAGAAAGCACACTGTTAATATTGTCACTAAAGGCCGATCCGCACACAACATTGCCGACAAGTGACCTACAGTTCCATTCCGTACAGTTCCGTAACGTGCTATTCATACATGTCAGTACCGTGCAGTGAGTTCGCATCATTTTCACGTAAAAATGCCTCGATATTCAAGATCACAATTAGCAGCGATTGATTTCATATTAGATGAAGATGAAGAAATTTATGTGAGAAGGCAATGGGTTCATAATGCGTGGAGGAACAGAGAAGAAGAAGGAGAGTTGTCCACACTGTATAAACATCTGATAGATGATGAAACAAAGTTTTTTGATTATTTCAGGAAGACAAGACATTATTGGAGTTTACCCCTTAAGAATCGATTTGCATATATAAGGGGCCCGGTATGAGAAAAATGTGAGAAGTTAAATGTATCGATGAATGACCTCGTTACGTTTTTGGTGCGCATCCTGTTCGAGCCAAAATAACTCTTAATCCGAGAGCTTAGGTGCAAAAGAATTAAATTGAAACTACAGTGTATTTTGTTAGACCATAGATTTCTTTAATAGTTAGGTGACGTTTTGCCTATATGTAGCTCCAAACATATTTACAAGCGTGATGCAACGAACTACAGCGCCATCTATTTTGATACATATGAACTAAAATTTTAAATGCACAAATGGCGTATACATAATCGCCCACCAAGGACAAACTGAGATTTATCCTTACAAATATTTAACTTAACAACATGACTCTGTTATCGCCCACCATGACTTAAGGTAACAAAACAAATAAAAACACTAAGATGTACAATAACTTAAAATAATATATTTATGCACATCTGAAATTGACTATTGTAAAAAGTTTAATGTAAAATATTTCGTCGATTAGTTATAATAAATGTAAATGAAATGAATAAATATATATTTATATATGTATATTATTTTCATTAATTTGTTAATTTACCCTTTCATACAGTATCAATCTTTTTTAAGTTAAATAAACTCTTTTTGCGTCTGGTTAGACTATCGAACTTAAGGAGTAAACAGTCGTGGGTCGGAGCTGACACACTCGATTTTTTTTATTTCGACATACTTTTATCTAAACTTACTGAAAAGTTAGAAAACAAGATACTCAGAGAAAATCTATATCACCAAGGGAACGTCTAGCAGTCTGTTTAAGGTATGTATCAATAAACCAACTAATCATAATTAATTTATTTTATATTAACTTTTACTTAATAGTCTTACATATTGAAAGAATTATAGGAACCCTTAATTCTATATTTGTTATCTGAATCTTTGACGAATACAATACTATTATCTAAATCATAGTTCATCACGACATTTTCATAGATCGCGTTAGACCTCTTGGCTAGTATTGACGCTTCCATGATCTTCTACCACAACAGATTCATAGTTAATTTTGTTAGACCTGTTTTCGCTCCTATGGGAGCTTCGATGATTTTCCAACACAACAGCCTAATAGTCAATCGCGTTAAACCTGTATTGGCTCGTATTGGGACTTCTATGATCTTTCATGTCAGTTACATAGTTAATCGCGTTAAACCAGTCTTGGCTCTATTGGCACTTCTATGATCTTTCACGTCAGTTACATAGTTAATCGCGTTAAACCTGTCTTGGATCGTATTGGCACTTCTATGATCTTTCACGTCAGTTACATAGTTAATCGCGTTAAACCTGTCTTGGCTCGTATTGGCACTTCTATGATCTTTCACGTCAGTTACATAGTTAATCGCGTTAAACCTGTCTTGGATCGTATTGGCACTTCTATGATCTTTCACGTCAGTGACATAGTAAATCGCATTAAACCTGACTTGGCTCGTATTGGCACTTCTATGATCTTTCACGTCAGTTACATAGTTAATCGCGTGAAACCTGTCTTGGCTCGTATTGTGACTTCTATAATCTTTCACGTCAGTTTCATAGTTAACCGCGTTAAACCTGTCTTGGCTCGTATTGGCGCTTCTATGAATTTCCACATTTTCATAGTTAAACGCGTTAGACCTGTCTTTGCTCGAACATCTCGTATTGGCGGTTTCTTGATCTTTCAAGGTTGTCATATAAGACCTATTTTGGCTTGTGATGGTGCTTGATTTACGCGCAAGCTTTGGTAATTTATTTCTCCATAGTTTTGATTTATACTTTTGAACAAGCAAAAATCACAAGGGTGCAATTCTTTTAATGTCGGAGCAAGAGATGCTAAAAATATGCCAACCGGATGCTAATTTTTTTCATACCCCTAAGTGTTAAGGGTTGTCCACCCCTAACATTGTTTTTGGGACAATTTTCTTTTATTGTTTGTCATTTAAAAATACATAGGTCCACCCTAAATTTTCACCCTTCTACCATCAAACCCTATTTTTATGGCGGTACGAAGTTCGCTGGGTCAGCTAGTAATCTATAACTTCTGATGAAGCTGTACTTACAGAATATTTATTATTCTCCTTGCGTCCTCTGGATCTACTTATATAGATTCGTTAACAAAGCTTGCGAATGTTGATGAGCTGTCGATGGAGCCGGCGAATATGTTAGCGAATCAGTATGCATGCTTCAATAATTTTATATGCTCAACATGATTTATTCTATTAAAATAGCAATTTACGCTTATAAAAAAATATCCTATAAAGTACAATTTTATATTTACCCTGATCTATGATTTTCTTTTATTTCAGATTTTTGGCAACAGGAGACCCATTTAAACAATATCATTCAGTTTCCGTTTAGGACACAACACAGTACATGAAATCGTTAAAAAAAACTGCAATACAATAGTGGAGACCAATAACAGAAATGTGGCTATCCATTGCTAATGACTTTTAGACTTACTGGAATTTTCCTAATTGTTTGGGAGCATTAGATGGAAAACATGTTACTATTTATGTAAGTGTGGGCTCATATGGTAAGAACAGTGATGGTGGCATATTTGCAAATAGCAATTTGCCAGGGCATTGTAAAGAGGTTTTTTTTAGATAGAGTTAAGATACACCAACTCACTATACTCACTATGTACCTAATTCTCGTAGATGAGGCATTTCCATTAAAACAATATCCAAAAACAAAACCAGTGCCTTCGTAAATAAAATAGATAGGTAACAATTGTAGCCCAATATTGTTACAAATATACTATCCACATATTTTTGATGTTTAAGGTTATAATTTGCAGGATTTTGACGGACCAATTCAATAAGCTTTTCGTCGTCCATCTTGAAATACTGCAACGGTGTCTGGCAAAATATTGTCCACTAGAAATTCACGTCTGATCACAACAAGCATCGCCGCAGCACTGACAGCACTGAACGTCACTGTCACTGACGAGTACGGATACCGACTTGCAAAATGTATGCAACAATGTAATTTTTCACTGACACTGACGGATACCTTAATGATCGGCACGTGTCGGCACTGTGCCTTTGCCTCCTCTGTTGTGTGCGGATAGGCCTTAATGCATGCCGTGGCAGCCTATAATTAAGATACCACTTAAAATGTCATTTATACATTATTGTTAACCTATACTATGTGGATATTCTTGTTGGTTGTCCTTAAATAAATAAAAGATAAAAAACGAGCGAGCCTAACAGTAGCCGCGTATGATGTGTAACATTTGAAACCTCACCTTATATTAGTAAAAAAGAAATAAAACCTACTACTAAAGGAATAAGCCATTTGAACATTGTTCTAAAATCAAATAGCGCGCGCTTTCGCGACTTCCTGTTACACACTTCCACAAATGGCAGGAAAGCGAGAGGAAAAATGTTACACATCAAAAATGGGATGTAATGTACCTGTAAAATGGTAAAGGTATTTCTTATCAGACTTATATTACTTTCAATAAAATTATTTAGATACATTATTTCAAATACAATATCGTCCACTCTCATTTTGATTGCTGTGTTATAATCACTACATCATAGTATAAAACACAGTCGCTTCCCGCTGTCTGTCAGTCCCAATATATGCTTAGATCTGTAAAACTACGCAACGGATTTTGATGCGGTTTTTTTCATAGATAGATTGATTCAAGAGGCAGGTTTATATGTATAATACATGCATAATATAGTAGAGAAACACTGATAATTTTAGAGATTTCTAATGTGTAAATGTCATAAATAAACACATTTTTGCGATTACATTGCTAACGCTGGCTGAATCCTACGAGATAGATCAAAATAATGTAGATACTACAGTATTGTACACAAAAACGTCTACTAAAAAGTGCGATGGTATAAAACTTTATATATATAAATCACAAGGTAATCGATAATTATACCGTTCGAAAACTTCGTGTGTAGCAAGAATTAAGTAATTTAAGGAGTTTTTTAATATATATTATGACAGATTTTCTGCTTTTTTACTGCTTAGAACAATACAAAAGCAAAGTAAACTGAGCTTTGAAATATTATAAACATTTAGTGAAATCCAATTTTTTTAAATTGCATATGATATTAAAATGGCATATGCATTTTTTAAATTACATATGATTTTTTGACAAAATTTACGTCATCTGAAAGAAAATAATGTGAAAAATTAAAAAAGAAACAATGAACAGGTGCATTTCTGTTGATTATTTACACCTATGTGTTTTTTGTTGATATTTACTAAAATTTAAGATTCATATGCGCTAAACATGATGATCCATGGTTGCCAGTAAAAAAGGTGACTGCAAGTAGAGGTTGACTT